CTCAGAAATATTCGCGTTCAGGCATGACTCGTTCAGGCATCTCAAAGATTTCACGTTTCTGCTTTATGTGGTGCACTCTGTGATTAGCGGCGTCAATCAGATGATTTTTACCGTTTTCCTCTTTGTACATACAAGGAAAAAAAAAATTTAGGTTTTTTTTTTATATAACCTTTATAACCTTGTATGTGGTTGCACCATCATCAATATCAGTCTTTACTGCGGAAAGTTGGTACAAAAACAAAACGAGCTATTCCTCTGAAATGGCAAGCAACAAACATGTTCGCAGGCATTTTGAATATGCGCTTTGTCGGCCACTTTCTTAACTAAATTTGAGTTCCATCGTCTGGTTACAAAATATGCTACTTCGTTGCAACTTAGGTCCGCACGCGGACGACGCTACGAGGGGACGGAGCCCATCGAATCACGGGGCACTTCTTGTGCATGTTTGATTCGGCGACGACACAGCAAACGAGACACGCCATGTTGGTGCGTCTTTGTCGCTGTTTGATATAGGCTTCATTAGCTCGTAGCGTCGGCTCGGATGATTTCGAAAGGTCGCTTGAAGCCACTACACAAACGGTACACGGGCTTTAGAGTCACCAAAACAGCTCAGTTTGTTTTGTTAACCAAAAACTGTTGTTTGTAACTCTAGTGAGAGAACGACTCTTCACCTTTCTGCATCCTTTATTTATTTGTTTATTTTCCCCAAGCACTAGGAGAAGGAGCTGCAAACGTAAGTTGGGAACACAACAGCCGAAACATATCAAATTGTTTGTTAATAATTCGACTATATGCTAATCGACAATTCAGTGATTTCCGGCTTGCCATTGCTCTTGCATGCTAAAGTGGCTAAAGCCTCGCAGACAACGCTAGACACAGCAGCATTGCTTCGTGCGAACTTTGTGTTTCGCAGCGTGGTGCAGGTTTCTAACTGGACCATCTGGACCAAATCCGGGACGGATAGCTGTCCCGACAGGGACGATGCGGGACGCTTTATGAAAAGTCGGGAAAGTCCCGCAAAACCCGGGACTGTTGGAAACCCTACCAACCACCATCTCGGCCAGGCATTCCGAGTGGATCTTTAATATTGGTGGAGGCTGTAGGTCCACGAGAACTATAGACCGACTATAGGGTCATGTAAACTCACTATTTTTCCGGAAATTTCCGACTGCCACCAAACATTTTGCCAGTGTGCCACGGAACTAGGAGACCAAAAACGTGCGTGTTTTGTCAGCGCTTCAACGGTGGACGCGACAGTGTACAAACATGCTACTTCTTCCATTGTCATCGTAGTCTGAGACTTGCTTGTTTCTGCGGTGTCCGTTCCACCATTGCCAAATATCTTCGGAACTTTCAACAAACGGCCCTTTTGGTGTCTCTTTGTCAAATTTTAAAAGCGTAGGTTTTTCGCGTCAATCTGCTGGTTGCTTTCAGCAAGCGCACTGAGACGCAATTCCGCACTCGTATGAGCCAGCCTTGGGAGTACTTTGTTTAATTTTTTTTGCGCTATTTTAATGGACGGCTTGCGCTGACGTCACATGAGCTGCCATTGTGGTGGGACTTACTGTATATGTGCACTGTGCCAGCAACATGATCTGGCCCGGCAGCGTTCAGGAGCCATGTAGGGAGTCCCGCGGGTACGAATTTCGATTGAACGGAAATGAATTACCAGATGCACCACTCGCCGACGAAAACTCTGCCAAACGGCCACGACATTTCAAGATCCCTCCTCGAGGTCATTCTTTAGAGGAAAAAAAAAAAATAATATTTTTACTTTTCGTTTCATATCGGTTACCGGTAAATAATCTACGGTTACGGTTTTCCTAAATTTCAAATAACGGTCTCGTTTCGGTTACGGTTACTGACAACAATTTCGTTCCTAAACAGTGTTCGGCTTCGGTTCGAGTCCCTGGATTTAAATCAAGCTAGTTTTAGTATGATGATATAAATAGAATGTGTATTTTCCGGTTTTAACCGAAAAACACCGATAAAGATCCGTCGGTGACGAAAATATAAAATCGGTTAAAACCGAAAAACACCGGTGGTTGGATTTTTTCGTTCTGGTTAAAACCGAAAAACACCGGTCGTGGCATGATTCCGACCTAGCGAAACCTTTTCCCCGTAGAGGTTCGTCAAACGTGTTATCTCGTGGATCCTGCATCCTTCCAGTGTTTATACATGGCTTGCACTCGGCGTCAGTGCGCCCTCCTTTCTGGGGGTCAAAAGCGTTTAGTGAACGCAGTGGAAGCTAAGCTCTCATACGCCTTTCCCCTATTGTGTCTCCCATGGCCCTCTTTTGTGGAAAAATTAACGCGGTGGAGGGTAGGCTCTCTCGTGCCTTTTCCCCATTGTGTCTAGCCAAGTGATGTCGGTGTAAGCCATGTATTCAGAGGTTGCTGTGGTTCCTGGAAGACACTGCCAACGTTCGTGTCATAGAGGAGCGTGCGTTTTCATAATTGTGGGTTGTGAACCGCAAGGAACGTGCTGCCATGACGGATGCAAGCCTCTCAAGGTATGCTTGCATCTAGTATAATAACCAAGTGTGAGAAATAGATGCTTCCTAAAAAAGAAGTGTATGAAATATGTGAATATAATTGGAACTCTCTGTCTGTGATCAATCGCATTTTTCTCCACCGATAATCACCGATTTTAGCCTCGTCGTGAGACGTTCCACCGAAATACACCGGTGTTTTGAAAATAAATAAACACCGAAAAACATCCGCCGATTTTTCTCACAAATAAACACCGGAAAGTACACACCCTAGATATAAATCAATCCTTTTCCGCATAATTAATCCCGCGATCCCATTTTATACAAAGTTTGTCTGTTCTATTATTGGATGCTTTCCATGTGCAATTTATTTCTATTTAGATTAAAAGAAATCCTCGAGCAAGAAATATTCATGGCACGAGCAAAAAGAAGTGCCCTTTTGAGCAAATCGGAGCGTCGAGTTTGATTTCTATACTTTCCACTTCGTTCATCATCTACGTACGTAACGTCCTACTGCAACAGAATCAGAACGCGAAAGAAACATTAACTAGAAAGTTAATCTCCTATTCCACGTAAAGTCAGAACTCGGGGAAAAAAAATCAAATAATGTTTTTATTTATTTAGAAAGTCGAAGCTGTCTTTATTCTTGTATGCCGGAGATTACAACAATAAAAAGTTATTAAACTGTACAATAATAATCCCCGAAGAAGAGAAACGAAGAGGAAAAAGGACAAACACAAATCTTGATTTCTGTTTGTCCTTTGTTTCCTTTCTCCATGGATTATTATTGTCTTTCTTGTCCAGCTGCACCTTGCACCTTTGCATTAAACTTTTTTTTTACATTTAAAGTAATTCTTTCTCCCTAATGCATCAATCTGTCATGTTAAAATATATATATTTGGTTAAAGAATTCCCATTTTAGATTAGGGATTTAAACCAAACATGATTTAAAACAAATAATTATGATTTACTTGATCTTTTATAAATCTTTTTTTTTTCCTACTTACCTTTTTATCGGCTAAGGCTCGGCTGCGTCAGCTTGTATTGCCGTTGACTGTACCTTTTGCAGCGCTTGATGGACCTTTGAAAAGGGTCTTTTCCAATCGTCTCGCTGGAATCTCAATTAAACCTTAACCGCTTAGCAGCTGCGAGGACATGCTCGGCATGTTTGCTTGGTTGCGTCACCAGCGAGGCGACCATGACGTCGGTGGTTCCCCGTGACGTCATGCTTTCGGAGCGTGCTCCTCTTTTTCGCAATAAATCGCTATTTATAGTTACACACTTGTTAAAACAAAAAAAAAAAAAAAACGTAAAAGCTACACTTATGTGGTTTCAGGCGGATATTATGTGGGCGGCTAATCTTTGCGATAAGTCGACTAATCCGCATAAAAAAAAAAGTATTTTTTGACCAGATAGCTGGATGGATGGATGCTAATGGCCGTACCCTTTATAACGGGTAGTAGGCGGTAGCTTGCGCCACCTAGCCGAAACCAGAAAATATGATTCACCCCCTGGCCCTTCTAAGCCAATTTGTGTTAATAACCGAGTGACTATTTACGCAGTGCTGTAGGACTGGTCTCCACGAGAACGAGTGTCACGTTACGGAACAGCGTCACGAAACGCCGTTACGCAGCCGTCAAATCTAGCGGACTTCCGTCTCGATGAAATTTAGAAAGACCCGCTAAATTATTTATCGGTAATAACGATAACGAATTAATTACATCCCTGGAGAAAGGAAACACGCCTCGAACAGTGTGTCTGCAAACTGTCTCTTGTACGATGTACTGGCACAGCGTAACCACGGCTCTAGTCCGTAGATGTGCGCCGGAAAGAATGGCCAGCCGAAAACCCAGAAACGAGTATAAACAGAATTCGGTTCGACGCAGTCGTACACTCTCGTCGTGAAAAAAAAAAACAGCTTGGAAAGCGGAAAGCGAATTGGGTCGCGACCATCCAGCTGTGTCCTTCCCCGCCCGTGGCCCGCTGCCTGCCGTTTTTCAACGACACAGTTGGATTGTCACGTCAAAAGAGCCCTCTTCAAAAGTCAGTCTATTATACCGGGTGAAACAAGGAGACGGTAGGCTCTTTAAATCGACCGGAAAATTCGGTTTCCTAACCTATCGCGCTACGACTTTGTGCAGCGTCGCCCACAGATGGTGCATTTTTTTCGTAAAATTTGCAAAGAGCGAACTTACCTGAGGAAAAAGTAAAGAAAGAAAAAGGCTTAGCTCCTATGGAAACTCAGCGACGCCACCGGTCTGCAATCAACACGGCGCCGTTTTGCACGGTAGACAAGAGATGGCGCAACGAACGCCGCCAACGAATGAGCACACGGCGCCGAGAGCCAGCGTTTTTAGCAGACAATCTTTTCGAATCAAAAGCGGCGCGCGTTCCGCAAACGGCGACAGTTGCAGAAACAAAAACAGGCGCGGTAACAACAAGCAACTGCAGTTCCTTGTCTGCTAAAAACGCCGGTTCTCGGCGTCGTCTGCTCGTTCGTTGGCGGCAGTTGGCGTCGCGACCGCTTGCGCCATCTCTTGTCCACCGTGCGAAACGGCGCCGTGTTGATTGCAGACCGGTGGCGTCGCTGCGTTTCCATAGGAGCTAAGCCTTTTTCTTTCTTTACTTTTTCCTCAGGTAAGTTCGCTCTTTGCAAATTTTACGAAAAAAATGCACCATCTGTGGGCAACGCTGCACAAAGATATAGCGTGATAGGTTAAGAAACCGAATTTTCCGGTCGATTTAAAGAGCCTACCGTCTCCTTGTTTCACCCGGTATAGTCCAGGCCCCAAGTTACACTGCGTCGGGTAGCCGCGAAGGCTCTGGCTGCCCTGCCACGCGCCACCATATCAGGATATTTACACGAGAACGCATATATGGAACAGGCATTGCGGGACCGCCAAATTCGATTTTACGAAGTTGAGCAGCAAAACGGACGCCACCAAGCGGGAAAACCGGGAACCAGCCGGTCCAGGTCGCTCCGCGCCCCTCCGCGTCTCTTGTGGCTTTCGCGGACACGTGTTGTCGGCGTGGTGGCGAACAACGTAATTTGACGAAGGTCCGAAAATTTCTCAAGTTTGCCTGAGTGTTCATTAGTGTGGTGAAGCCTCCGTAGATTGTTTCCTTCCATCACGTGTTTGAAAGCCCGTTTACTCCACAACACACGGTCGCGTGCTTTCGATTTCTTGGATGGGGAGGAATCGCGTAAAAACGTTTTGATTTCTTGTCTGTCTCGAATCACATTCAAAGTGACGACTACCTGGTAACTGATAAGGGGCTTCTTTGTAAGGATGTAGAACAGTGGGAGGACGACAGACGAGGCATTTCACTGGAGGGGACACCAATGTTGCAGTCAAGTGAATGGGAAGGTTCGATAGCTGCTTTTTTTGAGTTTTGTTGTGTTCCATTAGCTTCAAGTTTGAGCCACCCACGCCGGTCGGTGCGTTGGCTATTCATCTTGGCTGCTTTTCGCCGAAAAAGCCTCTGGACCACACTGAAGGAGTTGGGCTAATTTCGGAATTACTTGATTCCGGAAAACCTGCTCGCTGCAAATGATGAATGACGGAAATTTTCTGATTTCAAAAGGTGGAGGACGCGTCTCACAACGTTAGAAGCTGTTACGGCATTTTGATCTATCAAGCCTCCAATATTTATATTATACCCCCGTCGAAGCCAGCAGCAATATATGTCTACATTGCTCAGGTTGACCGGCCACAAAAAATACTTTTTTCTCCGTTCAGGATCCGAAGCAAAGTTCAATGCGGAGAGGTTCTGCGTGAACTCCAGTGAAGGCTCTCTTGAGTTTGTCTCCGTGCTGCCGACTAGAACCATTTGGCTAAGTTTAGGTAGTATCTCTCTGTCTGTCAAATATACTTTTATTCAGTAGTTCACCTAATAGCTAGTCAATTAAGCTCATATTTCAACCCGAAGAATATACTAATACCGCTTTAGTGGGACTCCCCCCCCCCCCCCCCCCCCCCCCCCCTAGTACGTAATATAATACATACCAGCTCGTCAAAATGACTTCTCGATTGCTACAAAACCTAAATTGAACTTATCAAAGCTGTATGTTGGGCTAGTTGGTATTGGTCTTGGGTTGCCAAAGGCATGGTAGCGCTTTTTTGGACGAGGACAAAAGAAAAAAAACAAGACAGACACGAGCGCTGAATTGAAATACGAGTATCAGCTGCTTAGTGGGGTGCCGGCGGGTTAACATGCTCCTTGGCTCAAGAAGCGCTTGCTTAATTTTCGTAATTTTCGTGCAGCCTGTGTTGTTGACCGAGCAGACGACTGGAGCTGTTTCTTTAACGCGGATACGCACAAAAGCTCGATTTCGCGGACAGATTAGTCGGATGGTCGAGGCAAGCGAGTTGGCTGAAAATTACTGGCGGCGGAAGAATTCTGCGGTCATTGCCGCTTTTCTTAGATGATCAAAACTGTTTAGTATATTACCGACTCTCCAGTGCCCATATAGTTTCGGTTTTGAACGAAATCTCCGAAACGACAGTTTGACATGAAAAGAACAAAAAACACCGTGAAAACAAAACTATGCTCTGCGAGTTTATGTGCACCGGCTACACCTAACCGTCTCAGTTCAAATAGCTATAAAATTGGGCATTAAACAAAAGAAAATCTGTTAAATTGAACGCGCCACCTGTTCAGGCGGCCCGGCCGAGCCGACGCGACCTGGACTCAGCCGCCATGTTTGTTCGGTGGTGGCGCCGCCTATAGGTCGCTGGAGTCGCGAATAGCGGAGTAAAACGGTAGTCCTCGTTTAGTTTCTATATAAGAGTGCAACTGGACAAAGCCCACTTTTGTATGCCAGGTTTGACCAGCGGTGATCTTTGATGGCTAAGAATGAGCTCCCCTTTACCATAGCTCAGTTGGGAGTGATGCTTGCGAGTGGTGGAAAGCGCCGCGTCGACCAACCACTGCAGCGAGTAGTTTGTTAGGTGCTGCTGCCTTTTTGATGCATCATTTATTTATGTTCGCCCTAAAAGATACGAATTCCGCTGGCTTCATAAACGAAAGCAACATGTTGTGCCGGTGGGTTCACAAACAAATTATCAAGCGTTTTTCTTCTTTTTTTTTTTTTTTATGACGAGTGCTCAGACACTACCACCATAACAAAGCGACAGCCGCTTAGAACGTATCAAGCGTCCCGCCAAGTGAATAGCAAAAAGGTTGCCAGGCAACAGTAAAAAGTCACACTTACTCGAATAGTACAGATATATATTTATGTATAAAACTTCGGCCTACTTACAACAAATTTTGCGGCGCAACAAAGAAAAAAAAAATCGCCAACTGCAGTTGGCTCGCGTCGAGGCAAAGGCCGCTTGTTCGATGCCGACGCCGAAGCCAGGCAAGTTTCAGCGTGTACAGTGAGTACTGGGCACTTGCAGAATCTTCACCCTCCAGCGGCATTCCTGGTGAAGTAGTAGCCAAATTCAAAGCCCCCTGTACATTTTTAGCGTTAACCCCCCCCCCCCCCCCCCCCTCCTTCCCTCCCTCACCTGGCCTGAAGCTTTACGTCAACAGCCACAGAAGCTTATAGCTCTGGTACATTTATAACACGTCGTGGAATAGTCTGATTTTCCCGGGAGAGACTGGGGGTCGTAGCGCTTTGATCCCTTAGCACCATATGGAACGTAAGCTGGACACGTGTCTCCTCTTTTTCAACACCTCCTTCACCTCCTTCCCCCCCCCCCCCCAAAAAAAAAAAAAAAAGAACGATTGAAGTTTTTTCTGATTTATGATGAGGCAGGAGAAAACACAGTGGCACACGCTTACGTGAAACGAGTCCTCAAGAAGAAAACGAAGGCACCGTCGTGTACCTGCAGTAGTGTCCAGAGAACTGATCATGGTTACCCTAAATCCCCAAGCTAAACGCAAGAGCCAAGAAAGAGACCTTCTACTTGAGGGCTGATGAACATCATCTTTCAGACGAAAAAGAAACAAAAGAACAAGGAAATAAACGTTTTTGTTTTACATGGCCAGTTGCACGAGGCCCGTGTCCCTTGCCAATACCTCCTCGTAACAAGGCCAGAGGAATTAACTTTTCACGTCACCTTCAAAAAGGCCAGCGCAGGGCACGCATTGAGCACGAGTGCTGCGTCGTCGTTCGGCTCAGACTCGCCTTCTCACTGATCAAAGACGTGTGCCAGCCAAATGCTGACACAGGACTGGGCTGCAATCCGTGACGCACGTTTGCCTCTTTAGGTGACGTCGAAACTTCCGGCCTAAGGCCTTGGCGTCTAGGAGGTCTTGACCTCAAACCCTGGTATGCCACTCCTCCCGAGGAAACCCTGCCCTCTCCCTCCCCCTCTCCTCCCCAACCCCCCCGATTCTAACCCCGGCCCTTCCTTAAACAGGAGCCGCGAATCCCCTTTTGGACGGCGGCAGAAGATGTTCTGGCAGTTCCGTGGGCAGGTCGTGGCCGGCCACCTTGACGTTGATCAGATGCATCGCCAGGGCAAACTCATCCGCGTCCAGCATGCCGTCTTTGTCCAGGTCGGAAAGCTTCCAGACTTTTCCGAGCACCGAGTTTGGCAGCTTGCTCTTGACCATCTCTGCCTTGGCCGACGCGCCCGATATCTTGCCGTCCACCGGAGACAGAGCGCTGAAGATCTCGTCGTACTTGAAGCGCTCCTTGGCCACGATCCAGTCGGGCTCCAGGGACCCCGCGTCGATGCCTTCGCCGCGTCCGAACCCGAAGGGACTCTGCTCCATGCCGTCGAAGGCGCCCCCCTTGACCACGGTCTCGTCCTTGTGCTCCGTCTGCTCGTGCGGGATCATGGCCATGAGCTGGGCGATGTCTTCTGCGAGCATCCGGTCGACGGTCTCCAGCAGACGGGGCTTGAGCAGGTGGAACTTGGTGAAGTCGTGGGCGGCTAGCTTCTCCTGCATCTCCTTCAGGTCCGGGAAGTCCCCGGGGGAGATTTGGTGCTCGCGCTGGATCTCGGCGTACAGGGCACCCAGGCCCTTGATGAGGTCCTTCTTCTTGCTGTCCTTGCCGAACACAGACGGCATCTCCTTGCGCAGCGAGCTGATGATGTAGGCGTGGACCTGCAGGACAACGAGGAAACAAACTTCATTAGCGAAGCAATAAACAAATGCGTTTGGATAGGACCTGGCCATAATGGGGCAAAGTTCGTTTTGCCCATCATCAACAATGATTTATCATAAACGAGAAGCATCATTGGTAAGGATATATCATCAAGAAGGAGCAACCATCAACAAGCATCCATCCTCAAAGAGAAGCGCATATGCCTCCTCGTTGAGTGTGGTTCTGGTTCTCATGTGGTATTAGTATTCGAAATTATCATGGCTTACGCTGGAGATTTGCCAGTGGGTGAGCATGCCACAGCGTTGAGAAAGAAATCGTGTAAAAGGCTCCACGCTTTTTTTTTTTTCTTCATCAAAACTGCCAGACTTTTTAGGGCTAAAGCAGGCGTGGATATGCGAAACATATTTTCACTTAAAACTTAGAAGAGCAAAACACACACACTCTTCTTCTACCACGCACAACCATACCAATATTGTAACGTTTGACAAAGCAATATCACTTGATACTAAAGATAGTCTCTTTATACAATTCAATGTAAAACACGGTAAATGAAAACATCAAGAACGGTGCAACTACAAAATTCTAGCACTCAAAACAATGCCTAAAGCGCCTGCAAAAAAAAAAAAAATCAATATTTACAATTTTATTTGGAAGTTTATATCTTAGTTGGACAGGTAGCCCTATACACACCCCCATAACCTAAATACAAATAAGGCTTATGCTTAGTTCCAATAAAAATCGGTCGTCAGATAAAACAATATAAAAACAATTTTTTGCTGAAACGTGCGCGTTTTGCTAAAATAACGAACAACCGCATAACTGACCTCCATTCACCCCTAAAAAAGAAAATTGCTAACGCTCTGCAAAAAAAAAAAAAAAAAAAAAACTTTTTTTTTGTACAGGGTTTTCAAGGATTTGGACGTGAATGTGCAGTTGCCCAGCCGATCAAGTCCACCTAATATAGCGTTAATTGTTATCGTCATTGAGCAATGTCCCTCCCTCTCACCCCTACACGAGGAAATGTCGGCCCCATCGTTATTCCGTCCACGCCTGCGTTCCCAAGGCCACCACAAACTACGCGCTCCGTTTTGCATTATGCCGGACCGCACGGACGCTTACACGAGAGCCATCGCAGCCAATTGGACGACGTGACTGTGTCACGTGGCCTACGGGGGACGCGTGATCACGTGACGCATTTTCATGGTGCCGGATTGGCCGGAACGATTCGTAGCCTCCGTTGCGGTCCATCGAAACGTGAAACGGAGCACAGGCCTTGACACTGCCGTAGACGCCAACGAAAACGGAAGGGGGAAACCAAAAAATTCCGCAAAGTTTGATACAAAAAAAAATATAAAAAAGCGGTTATTTGATCTTGACGGAGAACTCAACAAAAGCTGCTTGTCTCACGTCGCAGGCGAAACAACACCAAAAGATGAAACCAAACAAAAAGCGAGGGAAGCGAAATATACCAGCGAGAATTAGAAAAAATAAATACCGCGGCCTACTCCGAGCGACGTATTTATTTACCCACATACGCAACCGAGCATGCCATGGGGCCTGTGTATCGTCAGTTTTACAATAAACACCGATTCCGTAAAAAAAAAACAAAAAAACGCGCTGTTTACGTTACACGTACGTCACGAATACGTCACGACCGCGTCATCGCTTTTGCAACGCCCGTGCACTTGGCTCCATGAGTTCTCATTCGTTCGTCTTCATAGGTTGTGCCATAGCCTCGTCTATACTCACAAAGCCTGCCAGTTTGGCGACGGAGCCATACAGTGCCCAGTCGCAGATCTGGAGCGCGAGGATCTGGTAGCACAGAGCATATCTCGGAGAGTCTGTAGTCGGCGCACAGCTTTTGCAGCGGCGAGGACCCGAAACATGGTTTTCAAACACGACGAGAAAAAAAAGCGGTAGCCCCGAGAAACGCGAGAAGCACGAGCAGACATGCCATCGCTCGGGAAAAGTGTGTTTCGGCGTCTCGCCGCAGCGGGGCGCCGGTTACATGCCTCTTGTCTGCCGTTCTCCCTTTTCACTTTAGGCGGCCGCGTCTCGTGGCAATATGGCAGGCTTCAACAGTATAGAGGAGGCTATGGTCTACTCTCGGGACGCCCTGTTGAGTACAGAGCGAGCTCACGGTTATTAACTTTTAGGCTGCTACAGCATCACAGATGAAAACTAGAATCACTAAATACGCCACGCTTCAGAGTCAGTCATCTTGGCGCTGAAAATCATTGTTGCCAGTTATCTGAAGCTGTATCTGAAACCGCAGGAAACGCTCTTCCGTCCTTCAGAAATGTTAGAACGGTTTGCGACAGAGCGAAATGATATCACTAGCTGAGCTTTCTACGACCGCGTCTAAAGCCGAAAAAGTCGCATTTTTGAATTGTGTTGCCTCTACTCTGCTCTAAGCACCAAGACAGCGGCGCCCACTAGCGGGTCGGGGAACGGAGTGCCGATATGAGGGAGTTTCCGTAGATCGTTCTCGCCGTCCCGCAATGCTCTCCGCAACCCGCTACGGTACCCGGAACTCTACAGTCAAGGCTATCGGCGCGCAGGCGCAGTAGCGGCTTCTTCGTTGCGGAGGACTTAGCGGAAGGGGAAACGCGGTCTACGATAACTCCCTACTGGGTGATTTCAGATAAGATCGACCAAAGGGTGGCTGGTCGACATTTTTAAATCAACTGATGTTTTTATATGACATTGTCTAGTGTCTGGTATAAACGAATCCACACTTAGTTTTGACCAGAAAAAAAATTTGGAGACAAGAAAAATCGTAAGGCAGGGAGAGGTGGACAGTTGCAATAACGCGCACTGATGGAGGGGACAAACTATGGGTACAACTTGCTTGTAATATAAAGTAATAATATTTATTAAAAATTTATTTAGTTTTCTAAAAATTGCCAAACATGCCTGCTCGAACGACAAATGGCAAACTTTGGAAATCTGTATCTCATGAAATAATTTAATCATTATTACATAACTTGCAGACATTATTTTACTAATATATGGCTATTATTGAAAACATAAATAAGGTATCTGAGTGACACAATAGTTACAATATATTTAGGCAAACATGGGAAAAAAATCAAACAAAGAAAAATTCCAATGCGAATAAAAAAAAAAACACCACCTTCGATTTTTTTTAAAATTTGGGTACCCTGTTATACTCTATTTCGGCATTCATTTCTATTAAAAACATGTTGCATCATTGCACTGTGAAAGAAGAAACAACTCCCCAAAGTAGGGTCCTTTTTCAAAGCCTACACTTAGCAGTGTCCTATACAAGAAGTGACTCTGAGTTCCAGTTTCATGAAACTTGCACAAATCTTTTATATACATTTATTCAGATGAGGTCATTGATAAAAAGAGCGATCGGTCACACAGTAAAAGGGAGGAGAAACTATATACAGCATTTTACATAAGCGTACAAAGTGGTATCATATTAGAGACTAATGATTTGAGAAAAGATGATGCAGTGTGAAGTTGTACCTTCCGGTATATTTTACATCTAGAGTAAAATAAATAACTTTACTTCCACACACAAAAACAAAGATATAATAGTAAGATATTTAGGTTGGCTGTGTATTTACGATTACAAACAATTTCAGGTGACGGATGCCATAGTGCCTAACTGGAGCAGCTTCGATGCTCTCGGTGTATGAATGAATCGTGGCAAGCCGATATATTTTATCCTGCTCGAGGATAACATTTTGGGATTTTTTTTATAGTGATCAGATAAAAATTATTAGTAACCACCAACAAAAACAGTAGGTTAAATACCCCGTGAAGAAAAATGTGATAAATAAGATGTCCCTGCATTCAAAATGAGCAGTCCTTGGGAAATCAAATTCGGCACTTTACGCTAAGGTTTTCCTCGCTGTACCCATTTAATAAAGTTGCTTCCAAGCAGATCCGACTGTCCGTGCTACATATACGTCACAGGTCCCTTCTGTTGATGACTTGCTGAGCCGCCACGCGTGCCAAGACTGAATGCCAGGGAAGGCGCGCACCGTCAGCCACTCTTCTTTTTTTTGTTCACGATACCGAACAACCTCATTTTCGTTCAGATATACAAGATGCACGCCTTTCAGTTTCTTTGATAGAACGCTCACCATTGTCCTGGCCGTCTGAATTGCGCTTACTGAACGTTCTCTCAGGTTGTTCAGCGTGGCCTGGTGCTTCACGAGTCCGCCAACTCCGTCACATACATTTTTCCCATGTCCAGATGCAGAAAATAACCACTGGGCTTGTGGGCAATCGTCCTTTGCAAATTGGTGAAGCTGGTAGCGATTCTTGAAATGACTGGCGGCGCCGTCACTTACGTACGTCACGTACGAGTATATCGCAACGTTGTCTTCAACCCACTCCTTCACTTTTTCTAGAGCCAAGCAAGCGTGAGCGGCGTCGTGACACAGGTCCTCACTGATGATGGCAAAGCTGTTTGTAGATTTTCTTGTCGTCACTACACATGTAAATATCGAAACTTGTTTTTTTTTTTTTCCAGTGATATGCTTGCACTTCGTCAGGAAGCACGATGGTCCAGTTTTCAGCAAAGTCAAAATGAAACACAATGCTCCCGCGTTGCATGCACTGTTTTTCATCGTAGATCGCTTTACCTTGCGTTTGCCGGATATGGTTGTGAAGTACCCAACTTCCAACCGTCACTTGGATGACTTTTAGGAAAGTCTCAGGTTCCAAAGTTTTTTTCACAAGGTCGCCGGACTCCCATGTTGCAAGCACAATCTCTTCATCCTCCGGGATATCAAGTTCCTGGAGTGTAAGAAACTGGCCTTTTGGGCAGTGATCACAGTCTCCTTGAAGGCACAGTTCTGTTGCTGGTTCGCACAGAAATGCCGAGTTCATTTCACCAGTGTTGAATGTTGAGCCTGTAACGTTCTCTAGAGCGGCAATACAAAGATAATAATTGGCGCAGCGCACACAAACGCACACTTCCTGGTGTGGAATACATTGGACCCATCTAGGGCGCAACGAA